CAGAACCCCGTTTTCCAAAGTAAGGGAGTTCCATTGTGCCCAGTAGGACTTGATCACTGATCAACAGCTTTCGATGTGTGCCTGAATCAGAGCTACTACAGTTCAACAACAAATTCTATAAACAGGATTCAGGTTTACCAATGGGCTCACCCCTTAGTCCACTTTTAGCAGACATATTTATGAACAACTTGGAGACCACTATAGTAAACTCCGACCAGGGTAAAAACATATTCTTTTTCGGTACAGATATGTAGACGATATTCTTGCCAGTTCCAGAGGTACTATACGACAGCTGAACCAATTTATGACATTCATGAATAATCTCCATAGCAACATTCAGTTCACACTCGAAACAGAGATAGAGAAACAGATACATTTCTCAGACCTGGCCATTACACACAATCAGAATAAATTCGAGTTCGATGTTTTCAGAAAACCTAGCTATACGGACATCACCATCCCAAGCGATTCTTTCCATATAGACAGTCATAAATTAGCAGCCTACAACTCAATGTTGCACAGAGCATTCACACTGCCTTTGTCTGCAGACAATCTAGCTAGGGAAATTGATACAATTACACAGTTAGGTCATAATAATGGTTTCAACGCAGATACTATACAGAACTTAGTCAGGAAACAAAGCCGGAAATTCACTCACAGATTAATATATCCTCAGGTCAAACAACCAAAAATCAAGATTTGGGTAACGATAACGCTACTAAAAACGGTATGCTGAACACGAAAGGTCCTTCAGACTAGGAAAAAATGATTCGAAGTTTTCAAACCATTCCTTGGCATGCAACCACAAGTTTCCGAATCTAAACTGATACGGAAATTCTGCACTATGCAAGGAAGGGTTGCAAACTCAATTATTTAGAATCCTTGGAAATTTACAAGCATAAACATTGCTGGTGCAACCTGTTAAATGATCAAATCGATTTAATTTACTCTCCGGTTTTTAAATTAGCACATCCACATTGTGAACTGTAAATTCAGGTACTCAATCAAGTACCTGAATGGTATATATTGGCGAATGTAATGAATCATTGTTAGTTTATTGTATTAGTTTGAGAATGTTCATATAGGACGAAACTGCAGGAACGTTAGTAGTAGTAAAAAACAGAAATTTTCATTTCTCGTTTCATTATGCTCTCCTACCGGTAATCCAGTTTTGGTTGTCTGTGTCTTTTTTGTTGTTTTGGTAGTTTATCAGGTTGATGAAATTTTTAATATTGTTTTGTTTTATTTTGAGGAACAATTTTTCGTGTTTTTTGTTTTCAAGTACTTGAAAAGTTGGTTGAATTTCTAGCCCTACGAACAAATATCAGTTACAAAACAATAATCTAGCAAAAAAATGGTTAGAAAAAAAACTTATACCAGAAAAAACTTCTTAAGCTTACAAAATGCAACTGAAACCAAAATATACGGATTACCCAAATTACATAAAGAAAATACCCCCCTCAGTCCAATCGTATCATCCATTCAATCTCCTTTCTATAATTTATCAAAATTCCTATCCAATAGTCTATCAAACATAATAGGAAAAAACAACTTTCACATCAAATATTCCTTCACCTTCAAATAATTTATAGACACAATACAACTTCCGGAAAACTATCAATTCATATCACTTGACGTCACATCCCTGTATACGAACATACCAAACGAACTAGTAGAAAACATCATTGATAGAAAATGGCAAGAGTTGAAAAACCATACCCCCTTCCTAAAGACGAATTCATCAATGCATTAAACCTTACCTTATCCACAAATTACTTCCAGTATAATGAAGAATTTTATGAACAGTTAGTTACCCCCTTCCTAAAGACGAATTCATCAATGCATTAAAATTTACCCTATCCACAAATTACTTCCAGTACAATGAAGAATTTTATGAACAGTTAGATGGTTGTGCAATGGGCTCCCCCATCTCAAGCACAGTCGCAGAGCTTTTCATGAAAACCTTAGAAGAAAATGTCATACAAAATCTAAAGTTTCAACTCCCCTTTTTCAAAAGATATGTTGACGACTGCCTAACAGCAATCCCTAACGACAAACTTGATGAAATAACAAAAGCTTTCAATTCCTTTCACCCAAAATTACAGTTCACCGTAGAAATTGAAAAAAACAAAACAATTAACTTTCTAGACATAACACTTATCAGAACTAATATAAAATTCTTACCGAATGGTACACGATACAAACATGGTCAGGTAGATATCTTAATTATAATTCAAATCACCCCCTCAAACAAAAAAAGTGTAATAATAGGAATAGCTGATAGAGCAATATATATCTCGGCAGCCCAACCCGAAGAGATGAATGTTTGAACAAAATTAGCAATATCCTACAAAAAAACAACTACCTCCTCCAATCAATTAATGCCACAATCAAAACACAACACAATCCCCCAAACATAAACAAACAATACATCTCACTTCTCTACATTGAAGGATTATCCGACAATATAAAAAACATTCTTAACAAACACAATCTTGACGTCAGCTTCAAAGCATACAACACTCTAAAACAATATTACACCCCTCTCAAAAGTAGAGATCCGCAATTTAAAAAATCCAATCTGATATATAGCATTCCATGCAATGACTGCAACAAACAATATATAGGTATGACATCACAACTTTTCATCACTGAATTGTAAGGGTAATATGGTTATGAAAAATGTTCACCTCTGAGTGTCGAGTCTCCTAGCACACTAAAGACGCTTTTTCTAACAACCGTACAGCAGACACTGATCCAAATTTAATGTTTCACAATATTGGGCATATATCATATACCGTACATAACCATAAATAACACCAATATTACATAAGGCACTTTGAATAGTTTATGCGTATAATACGATAACAATTTTGTTCATTCATACAGCCGATATATATTCAACCTCTGGTGTTTTTTTCTCTTCTGCTCGCAAAAAGTATTCGTTCGACGTATTTCTATGTGGAGCCACATATTAAATAGTAAAACTTTGAATACCCGTGATTAGGAAAATATCGTAACAATTTGGACACTGCACCCAAGAAAGTGGCAAACCATAAACACATGCCCATCATCGGTATGGTGCAGCCAAGTGTAAGAAGGGGCAACACTTGGTTACCAAAAAAAAGAAATAAATACAAATGCACGGAGCCACCAGCAGGAGCCAGCCACACATTTGTGGTTTTAGTTAAAAGATCTTGTATTTACAAGAAAACTATCAAAATCAACACGGAGGCTGCTATAGCTACCTGCGTGAATCCGAGTACAGTAAATAATATAAATATGAAGGTTATTGAGTGTCTTGATATAGATACAGAAGTTATTAATCGGATAGGTATTGCACTAAAAAAAAAGCGATTCATTTCCAACAGGAGTACCTAGTTACAGAAAATGATATTATTTATTACAGAGTAGGTATATATGAAATAAATATTAAAAATAATGGAATATAGAAATGTACAAAAGTAAGTGCTAAAACAAAGTATATATAAAATATTCGTATAAGTAAAATTTCAAGAAAGTGGCAAACCATAGACATGTATGTGTTTCGGGCTTTTGGCCCATAATTAGTATGGTGCAGCCGAATGTAAGGATGGGCAACACTTGGTTAACAAAAGAAAGAAATAAATACAAATGCACGGTGCCACCAGCAGGACCCAGCCACACATTTGTGGTTGCAGGTGATAGATCTTTTACAAGAAAACTAACAGAATCACCACGGAGGCAGCTATAGCAAATCACCCGCAATAGCTATAGCAAATCTTCTAATGTTGTTGATTCTTTTTCATACACTTTAGACTTCAAATGACCCCATAGAAAAAAATCTACAGGAGTGAGATCCGGAAACCTTGGTGGTCATTTCGTAGGACCTCTTCTGCCAATCCAGCGACCAGGAAAATGATCATCCAAAAATTGTCGCACTGGAGCTGCATAATGAAAAACTATTTCGTTCTCGACTAAATTTGCCCTATTGATACACGGTATTATTCGATTCTCCAACATAACCAAATATTTATAACTAGTCAAATTATCATCAATAAAAAAGGTCCTATGGTGTGGTCACCTAAAATTCCTGACCGAACATTCAGTTTTTGAGGTCGTTGGGTATGAATTCGACAGTATAAATAAGGATTCGTATCACTCCAATATCGACAATTTTGTCGATTCACCTCTCCATTCAAACTAAACATACATTCATCCGAAAAACGAATTTTATACAAGAAATTCTGATACAAGTTGATCCGTTCAATGAGACTTTTACAAAATTCGATACGTCTATCGAAATCATCTTCATTCAATTCATGAACTGCAGTACAAATAGCTTCATCGTTGATAACTTCTGAACGGTTATGCCTTTTATTGTTAACAGATCCAGTTTCGATAAAATTGTTCTATTGAACAACAGAATTATTATTCTGAAACGTATTTATGTCGTACATTTCTTCCTGGATGATTATCATTCAACATACGGGCAGTAGCTCTAGAACTATTTCCATTCTGGTAATACAAACTCACTATTTCAGTCCGTTCTCGAAGCGTATAAACCATTGCTTCTCAAGAATTCACAAAAACAGAAACACCAATTGAAACTTCACCTGGTAGGTATTCGTTAATTGTAGAATGACACAAATACAAAATAAAGAGAATATCGAATCATTGTACCAAAAGTTATTCAAGGTGACAGGGTGATATATACATTACCAGAAGATGGCAAATGAGACTTTGCTGAAACGTTGTGAAAATAATATAATGAAAATGCATGTAACTCAACTCATTAGTTAGTTTCATAACCTCAGCGCAATCAATCAGTAATTCATTTTTCAGACCGAAAAAATTAGCGGCGAGTGGCGAGACAGAGATTGCAGTGAGCAAATCCAACAATCTGTGCAGTACACAAGTTACCAATTAGAACATCTCCATCCTGACACAATTTACAAAATAGAATTGCGTGCTCATAATGCCATCGGTGATAGCTCTCCAGCTCAAGTGAAAGTGCGAACGGCAAGAGGTGAGAATAAAGAATATTATGCTTACAATACATACCACGGTAGTTCAAGTTGTTTGGCGAAAATGAACGTTGTTTTGATTTTTGTTTCAGTTTTTAGGTTCTTGGTTTAGTTTTTTGTGTTCATTTTTTGTTATTGATTATAGCTACGTTCATTTTGTGGACAGTGGTATGCTGTTTCTGATTCAGAGATCTTTTTTTTTTATTTCACTTTAAAGAAATATTGGAGCAGTATGTTTTGATCATTTTCATTTTTTAATTGTTATACACACTGATACGCTGCAGTAAATTCAAGAGTCTCTCCCGATGAACATAAAAGCATTTTTACTCAGATATTGTATGAGCATTTGGTGTTTTTAAAAATATATTCGAAATTTGCTACAGAAACATAATAGCAAGAATTGAGCAGAAAATGATTCAATGTTTCGAAGCAGCTTGTTTTTTGACTACCAAAGAATGAAATAGTGATAAGCAAAACAAAATTTTTTTTCAAATAGATACATTTATGTGAATTGCAAATTTGAGAATATGAGACATAAAACAAATCAGTTTCGAATTTCATATCATTTTGAATATTTTCGAGAATATTGAATTCGAAATCAGTTATAATTGTTTACTTCAATTTATCTCAACTCATTATGTTTCTTATTATTTGAAATGTTTGAATTAAATAAAAAAATATTCTTTGAGAGACTTTTATTGTGTAGATGAGTCAACGTTTCTTTCTGTTTTTTCAGGTATTCAACCGTTGACAATCTGAAAAATTAATAATGCTAAATCAATAGAGAATCTGAAGTTCACCTTGAAAACTACTTATTGAGAATCTAGTCGACTTCACTAATTTTGCTTTGCAATAAAATAAATGATTGAAAAATAATCTTTTAATTCCTAATCAAATTCCTAATATCAAATTAATTCCTAATATCAAATAGCTCTGTGGAAATTGATAGTACCTACCTGGTTACCATTGCTAAAGCGAGAAGTTGATAACTGAAATATGAACCTATATTGAATTCTCGGAAAACATCTTGTAAGTTTATTTATGTATACTATCGGAAATTAAAATTTTTCAGGCATTCATTTTATTTACAGGCAAAATTTGTTACTACAAATAAGTAACTGATTAATTGGACTCTTCAGTAGTTTATATTACACAGTAATTTTTCGTGATGAACTTTTCAGTTTACCATTTATATACTTCTGAAGATTCTCTATCGATTTAGCTTTATTTTTCAGATTGTGGAAGTTTGAATAACTGAAAACTCCAAGAAACAAAGTAGAGTAATTCAATATTGAAGAATGAAGAATATGTAATAATAATATACCATTCTGAACAATGTGTTGTATTATCAAAGAAAAACGTACCATTCTTTATTTTCAAAAGGTAATGAATCCATATCTATAACTTGTGATTAGTCATTTTTTTTTCATCTTTTGAATTGGTACTTGAATCAAAATAGCATAGCAATGGTTAAAGAAAATCACGTAGTTATAATTTTATCACCCAATTTACATATTTTTCAAAATTATGTTTATTTTCAGTTGTTTATAAATATTATTAAAATAGGTTTTGTAAAAATTTTGTTTCCCTTTATCAATTAGCTGAGTGAATATTTTAATGTTCACCAAAAAGTCGAATGGTCCTCATAAAGTGATTTGCTAATTTTTTTTTTCTCAGTTGAAAGAAAAAATTATTATTGTTATAAAAAAAAAGTACCTACGATTTTGTAATAACTATAAAATTACATTCTGGACATTCAACCGAAAATGTGAAAATTCTCTTATCAGAACCAATTTTTTCAAACTATTTGTAGTTATTTTTGAATATGCATAACATTCAGTATAGAGAAATCCTTGGAATGAAATGTTTAGAGTATGATGACTTCCTGAAATACAGTGAAAGGCATTATGTGATTTGAAATTTCAAAGTATCTAAATCAGGTAATCAATAAAAAACGCCAAAACATCTTTTACAACTATGGCATGATCTTCTTCATTTTCTGTGTAGCTTTTTATGTAATCTACTTTTTAAAGATTGGTAAGTTCACTATTACATAACTTTTCAAACTTAATTATCTTTCAAAGTCGAAATCTTTCATGAGAAAAATGTAGATTTATTTGAATAATTTTAACCTGACTATAACCTGTTTTATAATTTTCCATCCTTTATATTTATATATTTTCAATATAGCCAAAAATAGGATCAATATAGTTACAAAAATGTGTAATGAATATTTCCAAACATATAATACCACATTCAAACTCAATATTAAGTATCATTATCAACAAATTGTTTGAGCAGCACACGAATCTAAAAAAAGGAATATCATTGGCAATTGAGAAAACACATTTTTATAATATATTATTTCAATAATAGAAAAGTAAAAAATCAACGATAGTTGTTGTCAGTATATGAAATATGATAAAAATCGAAAAATGTTGTAGTTGATTCCCCAGAAAAATGTTTATTTCTTTCAAAGAAGTGTGCCATGGCAAATATTTATTCATTCCACATTATCAAGATGTTCAAGATGTTGACTGGTCTATAAACTATTTGAAGTATTTTAACTGAATAATTAATCAAATTCTGATATATTTTTCAGTTGAACCCAGTGGTTTTAGTTTGTCCACATGTTACACTTTTTGGACACTTCTCTATTGCTTTCTCTCATCATTGCATTATGAGAAAATGTCTCACAAATAGATTCAATGAGAATAAAGGTGAATTTAGGATATGGAAAGCTTTTGGGTTTTCACTAGAACGTTGTTGGCAGTGGATACTTTGAGGTTTATTATTTTATTAATACTTTGATATGAGTGTATACAACCTTGCTAGGAGTATGAGAAATGACAATTATTATTTGGTGCATTACATTCCCAGCATTCACTGAATGCAGATTCAATAAGTAATATAATCAGACTATTCGACAGTTTGGTAACTATCTGAAACAGTGTGGCCTATTCTGACATTTGTTTGAATGAACTCTAGCCTCTTCAGGGTTATTTTGGAACTCTGCGAGGAGAATAAGTTCTTTAAGCCATCTTCAAGCTGCGATGACTATACTTGTGATTACTGTGCGCCGTTTCAATAAATGGTGATAAACTTCTAAATGTCTGTATTGAAATTGACTATATTATATTATACAGGTGCAACTGTACTTGAATGTGTTCCCAAATCATGTAATTAATAGATTTTTGTAAATAAATGACAACAAAGAGAATAACGGTGGATAAAATAAGTTATTCAGATTTATTTGTAGATTGGAAGAATATTCATCAAACTCGAAGTTCTTGAAATCAAATTTTGTCTCATCTGAGTCAATTCATTTTATCTACTTGCACAGTCACTCATTATTTCATGGCCCGAAAGGAAATACAATATTTTCTGAAATGTTATTAATTAGCAAAATAATTTTGTAAATAGCTTAAAAAAAATTGTATTTCTATTTGCTCTAAAGAGCGAATGTGCATGAATTCAACATTCCATATATTTATTAACTTTGAAAAATCAAAAAGCGCATGGCAGTGACCTGTTTTTTTATTTTATTTTTTGATATAGTTATTGCAGCTTTCGATGTTTAATCCGTTTTTATTGGGCCAATTTTATTTTTAGTTTATTTGTTTCAATTGTTACTAACATCGTAGTTATAGTTGTATATGTTTGATTGGAATCAACCCACAAATTATGAACAAATGAGGTTCACTTGATAATATCATGAAGCTTTTATGCAGTTTATTTTTCTGCCAATCTTCATGTTCGACAACATTCTGATGTTGTTATGAACTGAGCCCTTCTGATAATGAATTGAATAGTTGATTATATCAGGTTATCTACCTTCGAAGAGCAAAAATTTAATTTTTCTTATTTGGGAGAAGCACAGACATTTATAATTCAAACTCCAAACTCTGGGAAATTAATAATCATGGTTTCAAGAAAATGTAGTCACAAAGCTCAAATGCGAGTTTTTAAATTTATTGCAATATTTGTACACTCAAATGTAAAAAATCCTTTTCATAATGACTAGTAAATTAGGAAGGTATCATTGGGTGAGCCACTGTCACGATTATATTCCGAAAATGCGCAGCTGGTCAAAATAATAATAATATATAAAATAATGATAATAATAATAATGACACAAACTACACAAAGTTATTGGATTTCAACATACAGGAACAATTCAAGCTCATGAAGTAAAATAATTTGTGAGTATTAATACATTGACAATAATGATAAGAATGTAATTTGGAATGTTACATTACCTTCATTCTGGGATCAGGAGGTGTATGATTTCATCAAGTGAGAGGCATTATTCAATTATAGTTGAGACCTAAACCGGGAGTGGTAATTTATAGAAAGGTTAGATTTTTGCTATATTTGTTTTTCCATCTTTTGGATAATTGAATATTTCAATATGAATGGATTTTTTGTTTTTCCGAATTTTTCTTTCTTTTTTGGGAAACAGGGATTTATGACAAGTGACTACAGGGGCACAAACAGAAACACTGGTGTTAATAAGATCACAAATTTTTTTAAAGTCAATTCAATAACTCCACATATGTTCAAGACAGGAAGCAAGTACTAAGTATCAATTATCTAGGAAGAAGTTACTCAGAATGAATACTGTTCTATCATTTCATGGAGATAGAATTTAACTCTCGTAAACACAAAGTACATCGGATAAATCTTCCTGATTTCAGATCTTGAAACATAACCGAGCTAACAGAGCTTCTTGGTTCTTTATAGATATAAAGAACCAAGAAGCTGTGTTAGCTTCAGACTAGATAGTCTGAATTAAAATTCCTTAGCATTCGTTAGGAAGGCAACTCACAATATTAGACCCTCTAGTAAAATTTGAGCATAATATTTCTGAAGTTTTGTGATATTGAATCCTTTTTCACATAGTATAGTCAATCTTTTGAACGGTACGCAAATTGAAATGTAACTATATACAGACTGGCTGGCGAGGATTATAGAAATTTGAATACATCATTTCATGACTTTG